TTCTAGAAAGTAGAAAATAATCCGACTTTTTGATTTTCGAAAAGCCCATATATAAAATCCCTGAGGATTTTCCAAACGAAAATTCGCTGAGGATTTTCTATATATAATTCCAAAGAATGTACAAAATCGATGTCGATTTTCCAACTTTCTTGAAAATCGAGTTGCATTTTCTATAAATAATGCCCAAGAATGTAGAAAATCGACATCGATTTTCTACATTATTGGAAATTCGATTTTCTATAATCTAGAAAATCCGTGAGGATTTCATATATGGACTTTTTGAAAATCGCCGAGCATTTTCTATAAACAATTCCCGACTTTACAGTGTACGGCCAGGTTTGATGGCCAACACACAGCGTCCTCACCAAGATGTGAATATGGCTCATTTTATTTTTCAAACTTCATTTCTTGCTGTAGTCTTGATGGGCTTGGAAAAGTATACTCGGTCTGCAGGCACCATTCAATGAGGGCGAGTGTTCAGACTAGTGGCCTAGCCAGGATTTTAATAGTGGGTGGGGGTTGCCTCAAATTTTTTCAAAGTGGTAGACATTAGCGCAGAGTAGTGTGAATTATAAAACTTTTAGTGGGGAAATTCAGCTTAAATTTATTAGCACTACTTCAGATCGAACTCCAGAAAACTGATGGGCTGTGCCCTGCGTAGCACGAAATCCTGGTTCCGCCGCTAATAAAATGATGCACATTTTGTCAGAAAAAAGCATCCACTGTGCCTTGCATGATTTGATGAGGAAGTGCATTTTAGTAAGACTGTTAAAAAGTAAAAACAGAAAGTCAACGGAAACATACGAATACCATCACCAAAAAGACTGAAATAGAATGCAGAACATTAGAGACCATAATTTATATTTGTACTAGGCATGCGCCGATTATAACCGATAAATTTCATCTTTTTTTTGAAACGTATTGCATGAAAAGTACGCATATTAAAATTTTTGTAACAACTAGGTTTTGTAGAGCACATATTTTTCTACATGATGAGCTCCAATGTCGATGAAATCACCTAACTTTTGCCGATTAATCGTGATTTTTCTGCTGTGTATCCAAAGTAACAAGCTAAAAAAATCGCCGATTAATCGTGTGATTAAACGCGATAAATCAGCGATTTTTTTAGCTTGTTACTTTGGATACACAGCAGAAAAATCGCGATTAATCGGTAAAAGTTAGGTGATTTCGTTGACATGGGCTATGGCAGGAGTCTTCATGTTTTGGATTTCTGCCCCAATCGCTTTTCGGGGAAGACCCCCTAAATCAGTTATCACCAATCATAGAGCTTTTAAGAAATCTTTTTTCTGTAAGTATTGGATCAAAACGAAGAATACACCCATAGTTCATGTTGTGGAATAATGTTTGTTCTACAAAACTCAGTTGTTAGAAAAATTTTAGAAAATGAATTTTTGTTGAGAAGATATTTTTGTGAAAATAGCGCACAATTTTAATTGATTATAACCGGTGCATACCTAATCTGCATATGAACATTTTCAATCCTGACGGTTACCGCTAATTCGTAAATATGCTGATGAATAGTGGTAAGATTTTTTCAATTATCCACATTGTGCAATAGTATTTATTAACTTGAAGCTTGAGATCCTAAGTATATGTCAACAATATATGACAGTAGAACATAATTTTCTATTGATTTTACTGATAGAAAAACGGTTTCGTTGAATAGTGAATGCATGTCTGATGATAAAAAGCTTTCGACAGTATAATGTACGAAAAAGAACGTATCAAAATTATAAATTGTATTTTATAAGCTGTATTTTCTGAAAAATGAAACAAAAAAATATTTTTTCGCCTATGTGTTTGTACGTAGCTTGAATAAAACGAACGTATTGTGCGACGAGAATAATTTATTTTTATTAATAATTTTCATAAAAGCAAATACATATTTATCGGTTGTTAAATAACTGACGTAACCGTTGATGAAAGATATTCTAAAGAGATGAAATAGAAACAAATTTGTTTTATGCTATATAGTATTACAATGACATCAATTTACCAGTTTTATACGGTTTAAATTATCATCAATATCGCTCATTAATTTTTCTTCTACGTAGTTGTCATTCAAAGCTTGATTGTTGTTACGATCATTATTATTAAAGGCAGCGATCACTATATCATTTGGCTTGGACGAACGACTAAGAAGTTGTAAGAGTCTTAAATCATACGGATTATTTTCAACTTGGTATGATGGATTTGGATAAGTAATTTGATTGGCACTAATGGCACGTTTTCCCCAATTACCTGTATAAATCAGCGAGCGGTGGCAAGACATTGAATATTGATTCATAATAATAAGAACTCACCTCCAAAACATGAATGTCCCCAATTCGCACAAATACTACTAAGAGCCAGGCCATTAACTAAGAAAATAAACAAACAAATATCAACCAAATATACAAGAATCAATATATATTACTAACTATTTGATAAATGTAGCATGATTATTATTATTATGGTAAAACTAACGATAGGTTGGTTGAATTTGATCTTCATATTATTTTAGGAATAGTGTATATATTTATTCATCCAGTTCTAAATAGAAACCAAAAGTAGAAAAAAAAATACAAGAAAAATTCACAACAGAATACAGGAAGCAATATGTTTGCTTGTTTAAACCAAATTTTGTTGGTCTATAACCAACATTCAATGGAAAAAAATATTAATCTGGATACTACAACACTCTTTCAATTTGATAGTAACGAAAGAACATTTCTAACTGTTAAAAAATAGTCCAAAGTTATATTATTATTATTACTAGAATCGTTTCAAAAATACTTTTTTTGTAGTTCGTGTACTACAACCATTTGTCATATTGCTCCCAAATGAGTCTATTGTTTTTTTTGAATTCAAATATATGTTAATCATCAAAAGTTAATCATTAAATAAAACTATACATGAGAAAAATGGTTTTAGCCCTTATTACTATAGTCCATCTAACTTTAAAATAATATTGACATGCGAAAAAAAAAAAAGAGTTCAAGAAAAAAATTCTAATATACTATGTGTTTATTTTGAATAAATTTTGAAACTTGAAAACTATCACACACGGTTTCTGGAGTAAAACACTTTTCTGTATGTATACACTCTTAAATCTATAATCTACTTATATACTTTTAAGAGATAATCAGTTTTTAACTTTTTATTAATCTTTAAAAGAGTATTTAGGATAAGTTTTATTTTGTACACAATATGGTTTTATGAAGTGTAATTTTCGTACTCTGTAATGAAAATGGTTCTTTGAATTCTACGAAACCTTTGTAGATTTATACGTTTGAAACAAGTTCGAAACCTTTAAAGATTCTATTGAAAAAAGATTTCGTGGCAAACTCGTACTTTTTTATTCAGAAAAAAGGTTTGGTGGCGCTTGTTTGCCAAGACCTTTTGTTTAATTTTTTGGACACTGAAGCAAGAGTAGGCTAAAAAAATGGAGAATGTCCTACTGTACAACACACAATAACTTCGGTATTTCACATAGTATTTCGTTATCTAAAACATAACAAATAATGAAGGCAAGTAAAAAAATGATGAAAAAAATTGTGATGCTGTTAGAAAGAAAACTTGTTTTTGACGATATTCAAGCGCTTTGTAACGCGAAAAATAAAAGCCATGAAAATGTTCAGCGGTTTCTGAACTATCGTTGTGATGAAAATTGCTCGCAAAAGACATACTATGTTGATCTACAACTTCATCGATAAAGATTTTCAGTTTTATTGCTAAACAGAAAAGGTTGTGAAACAAACTAATCAAATAATAACGTATGAATGCAAGCGGTATTTGTAGAATAAAAAATTGACTATCGTCTGCACTAATAACAAATTACAGCTTTAATCTTTACTTGCCTTCATTGTTTGTTATTTTTTAGATAATGAAATACTATACAAATACCAAGTTATTGTGTGTTGTACAGCAGAAAATTCGCTATCTTTCAAGTCTAGGATGGACTCTTGAATCTATGTTTCAATGCCCAAAAAAATTCAAAATAAAAGTGACCCATTTTATCTGGTATATCTGTTAGAAACATAGAAAAACTCAAACAACTAAGAAGTGGGTATGCTAAAGGCTATAGATAATAACAATGTAAACGAATAGCTGTATCACTATTGTCAACGAAAAATAAAATGAATATTGTCAAACAAAGTCTAAACAGATTTTGTACGTATCTAAATAGGTTTTATATTTATCTATGAAACCTTCTTGCATTTCCTAAATTAAATACGAAACATTTCCTAATTTCGTACATTGAGTACAAAACCTTTTGATCTATGAAACTCCTAGAGATTCATTAAATAAACACGAAATCATTAAAAGTTCAGAAATGATCCACGAACCTTTAAAATATTATAGAGAACCATTTTTTTCAGAGAATATGACAGCTGTAAAACTCAAAATAAATCTATTTGAAAAACAATAAGATATAACATGAATTTATAATAGATACTCGAATGCATTACTTATTTAAAAAGAATTAAGATTGTCCTATATTTAACACACAAGAACAAAATACGACGAATATGTCCTCATTTCTCGACTCTATTTCTCTCTCATATAAGTTACTTACTCACATATTCTTAAGATCATGTCACATCCAGATGACTAGGTAATAAGAGATTATGTCACCAGACAATTTATATAGTAATATATGACATACCCGAATAAAGAAATCTCTTTTATTAATAGTTTTCATTACATTTTAGAAATTTGTTATTTTAAAAAATGAATATAATAATTGTTGAGATTTTTGAAACACAGTTTTAAAATAGAGATAAGTATATAAACAAACTATAAAAAGTATATTCAAATTCTATGGCTATTTTCTCAATTTCTTGATATTGTTTATCTGAATGAGACTAAGACATTTAGAAATGCATAGTACTATTTACAGAAGAAGAAAAACATGAAATGACATGGCAAAGTAAAAATATAATATACCTGATTGCACGATTAATATTTAACAATACAGTTCTTAACTAGACATACATACGCGATATGTTATTGAAAATAACAAATCAATATACGCCCATCTATAAAAGTTGTCAATTGTCTATCAATGACTTTTTTTTCAATGACCATGTTTCGACGAAAAACTTCCTTTTCTTTCTTTTTGTTTTCACTATTTTTCTCTTTTTTTATTGCTTTAAATGATTTGTAAAAAAAAAAATATTAAATAAGAAAAAACAAACCTATCGTTATCACATCCTGAAATAAGTCATATAATATGAGTTCAATTATCATTTTTTCTTTTGGTGATTGATCTAAAATCATTTTATATGTTCAAATTGTTTCTTTTACTCTATGAAGGAAGAGACGTTACATAAAATTAGTTTTTATTAATTAGAAAAGAGAAAACAGTGAATACAATAACCGAACAAAAGAAATCCATTTTTGAAGATATACTCAACATGAAATTAATTGGTTATCAATAATTGAACATGAATTTTCATAAAAATGTGTTAACAACTACTCTGTTGAAATGTCAGCAACATTCACATATTTTCTAAGAAAGACCGAAAAAATCGGACATGGGCACTATTCTACACTTTATTTCCAAATCCTGTACATAATTAGAAATGAGAGTCAAGCATAGAATTTTGTGTTAACGAACTCAACAAACAAAAAATTGATGCTGGGGTGTCACATATTTATTCTAAATCTGTCGTATCTATTAAGAAAAAGAGTAGAGTAACTGAGATTTTGTATTTCTAATTAAAAGTTTCAAAAAAAGCAACATAGCAACATATATTTCTATCGGAACGGAGTCTGAGATTTTTGCGTTCTTACTTGTTTGTCTGAATTGTAGGCGTTGAAAAATTAAAAAAACTCAACATGTTTTGTTAATACTAAAATTAATTTAAGTTGCACTAGAGTTTAATTTGCTTCAATGAGCGAGGTTAAACAAATTCATTAATCAATTTTTCAAGTTATTTATACTAACAACGAATATGCAGCATCTACTCCAAATCGTGATGGATTCTTGTTTCGGTCACAATCCTTGGAAAATGTAAATAGGTAATGATAATCCTACAGAAACACTCAAATTATCTGATAAAAATGATTGTCAAATAATAGGCTTTCAAACAATCAAAGTTCATGGTGTATTCAATAACTCCAAAATATGCCTGAAAAAGTGTAGATCAAAAGATGGTACTGATGCATTAATAGTAAGTTTGATCAATGAAGGCTGACACATGTACAGTATACTTCATACACGAGATTCAATGATCAGACACACAATAAGCTACGTAGTTTTAACATCGTTGGATGCTTTAGACAAGATCAAAACGGCCAATACGAAGAGAAGCTTAATTGAATACTAGGCATGAATGCCAACGAAAATATTATTTGACTGAAACCATTGAGAAAATTACAGACGCATGAATATATTCTGTTTTTTTCTGTAGACTGACACATGTACAGTATACTTCATACACGAGATTTCAATGATCAGACACACAATAAGCTACGTAGTTTTAGCAAAAGAAGAACATTTATTAAGCTAACTTGATTCATGCAGGCAACATTGATCATCTCTTATTCGATTTTCTTCTCGTATTACTATCTCAAAACCTAAAAATTTAACAGAAATATCTGACGTTACACAAAAAACAATAAATGATCAATTCAAACATAACCTTTCACTTATATGTTCATATTTTTTACTGCCAAAAATACTTTTAAGAACTTCTTTGTTGTTTGACAGCATAGAATGAAAATTACTACATGTTAAATTGGTATGCCTGAGTAATGTCGCAAGTAGAAAAGTCGAATGTCGAAAAGTTCGAAGGCGACAAGCGTAAGACCTTAGTAGAGTTGATGCTGTTGAAGAAAAGAAAAATGGGCGAAAAATCTTTTTAATCAAAGAAAAAGTAGAAAAGAGTTATGACAAATAATCAAAGAACATAGAATGAACATAGGATATACAAGAACAGTTTAAAAAAGAGAATATAACAGTAATAAATTGATCATTGCTTTGCTATGTGACAAAGAAGACCAATTATAAAGAATACAAGTTAAAAATGTTGTACACAATCAGTAATTTAACAAAAACTATCAAACAATCGATCATTTTTTTTTTGTTTTATCTTTAGCCAACAACGAATGATAAATCTTCTAAATATTCTTCTAAATTTATTTCATCATTTTTATAACGATCAACAAGAATATCAATACGACGTTGTACACAATTTGTCTTTTTTGTTTTGGATCTTCCAGTTGCACCAACTAGCATTTGTATTACTTGATGATGAAAATATACTTCTTCTTGTCCTAGACAATTAATAAAATGCCATATATTTGGATGATGTTTATTAACACGAATATTGAATCTATTATGACAACCCAGAGAACAGAGAAAATGCTTATGACAAACGTAAGAAAAGTTAGAAGAAGATTCGGATTTTTTCAGCAGTTTTGTTAAAAGAATTGTGTTAGTAAAGAAAGCAAGTGTGTATAAATACCTTCACAATTATTATTTGTTCGAAGTTGGAGATCAGATACATTCCAAAGATGAAGGGATATGTTTGTCATCAAAAAATTTCAAAAATAATTAAATAAATCTCGTAATAAAATAGATGAATCATCGTTTAAATCATATCACCAACAAAAAATTAAAGTTCATTTAGAGTTAAAGAAAAGTGCTTTTTCGTATTCAGCACACTTGATAACCTGGAAAATTTCTATTGTTAACGAGGGGTACCGCCAAAAAGTTTAGAAAAATTTTTAAAATTGTTTAATTTTAACATGGGATTTTTCTGCGTCAATTTGTTTGAAAATTTTTCTTAACTTTTTGACGGTACCCCTCGCTAAAAATAGAAATTTTCCAGGTTATCAAGTGTGCTGAATAAGAAAAAGCACTTTTCTTTAACTCTAAACAAACTTTAATTTTTTTTTATCGGTGATATGCTTCAAATGCCAATTCAACATCATTTAATTATAATAATGATAGTGTCATTAATTTTCGACATACCATTCTTCTAGTTTCACTATCACGATAAGCTGTTGTTAGACCAAGTTGTTGTATATTACGATATATAGCTTATGTAAAATGAAAATAACAGCCGGCATGTCGTGTTTGTGGAAACTAAAATAAGGAGATTGAAAAAATCGTGCATTTCTACTGCTTTAGGTAGTTGAATAAAAACTCTTCATCGACAACAGCTATGATTAAAGTTTTTTCAAAATCACTTGTTATTGTATTTGGATTAAATGTTGTTATTAAGCGAGTAGCATGATGTTTCAATTCACGAAATAATTGTGTATAAGTACGAGCTTTACGGTCACACAATAAACCTAAATTTTGTTTAAATGTACGAACTTCAATTTCTTCAGATGATTGTGAGTGAATGATCACGAACTGTTTTTATAAATGCATCATTAACATTTGTGTAAACACCGGCATTGCGGCTGCGATCTTCATATTTCCAATATTTAACTGTAGTTGTTGTTTTACTAACATAATAAATGTAATTATTAGGAACTAATAATGGTAACTACACTCTAAAAAAAATGCGACTTCAGCGATATGTCTGAGAAAAAGTGTCTTTTGTATGACTACATTGCGTCTTCAAAATAATAGACGTCTTCTATATGTCTTCAATGCGTCTGCTGGTAGACATATAGAAGTCGTATAGAAGACATGTGAACCAGAAAGACGCTTAGCAGTCACATCTTCCCGCCTTCCATGTGATTCTACTAGGTTTTTAATGTCTCACATGAAACGTCAACGTCAGAGGCCAATAAGACTAATAATTAATGTGCATGTATGGTTCAGTGATGAACACATTCGTCTGGTAAGCGAACAGATCGAGTTCAATTCTTGACAGGAACGAAAACTTTTTTTAATGTATCTTGTCTAGAAGACACATCAAAGCGACTTCAAAAGAGTCGCCAAAATACGGCTAAATGGGAACCGACTTCAGTGTCTTCCATGTGACTTAGAAGTAGACGGATTGCTGTGACTACCACAGGTAGTCGCACGATGTGTCTTCCGAATAGGCACAATTATGCGACTAAATGGGAACCGACTTCCGCGTCTTCCTAGAAGTCGCATTTTTTTTAGAGTGTAATAACGACTAACAAAAAGTCGAAGCACTCGTCGAGAAACCCAAAGTTCTTCAGGAAAAAAGATTAAGTTTTCCTGAATCCGAAAGTTCTTCGCGAAAAAAATTGATTTTTTCGTGTGGAAACCCCAAATTTTTGAGAAAAAAGATGAAGTTCTCGTAAAGAAACCCCAAGTTGTTGAGGAAAAAAGATGAACTTTTCGTGAAGAAATCAAAAGTTCTTGCGGAAAAAGGATGAAATTTTCGTGAAACCAATAGTTCTTCACGAAAAAAGATGAATTTTTCCTGTGGAAACCCCAAGTTCTTGAGGAAAAGTTGAAGTTCACCAAAAAACATGAAGTTTTCGTGGAGAAACCAATAGTTCTTGGTTGAAATAGATGAAGCTCTCGTGTATTGGTGAATGTCTACAGTCTTCTTTAATTTGCTATTTTAAAAGCGCACCTCTTTGCATCGAAAAACTTTGCACACCGCTTTTTCTCCCCTATCGTCCTCGTTCGTTCTGCTTTTTTCCGCTTTCGGGCTTTCAAAAGCGGCAACCTTGCTTTTAACGCAAGAGACGGCATGTATATAGTTATTAGGGGTGCCCGCTCCCTCTTTTTTACCCTCTTCTAAACCGGGGACGCCGATGTCAGATCGGGGTGAAATTTATAACAGAGATAGAATGTCGAAAAAGAAAATTGAAGTAATTTTGCACAGAATTTTGTGACATGTTCTTCTATTGGTTTTCGTCCAGTCACATTACGACCCCTCGAAAAAATGATCCGATCGAGCTCAAAATTTTATCACAGATACTTCAAACCCTATCTTAGGTTCGTTTTTTTTTAACAGAAAGTATGCTTTCCTTCTCGAGATATCCCAAAAATGTTGAAAGTCACTCAAAAAAAAACTCAGTTTTTAACAGGTTTTTTTTGCGTGACTTTCAACATTTTTGGGATATCTCGAGAAGTAAAGCATATTTTTTGAAAAGAAAAGATCGAACCTGAGATAGGGTTTGAAGTATCTGTGGTAAAATTTTGAGCTCGATCGGATCGGATCGGGATATAAATTCGACTAAAATTAGTTAAAGGCTTTTGCTTGAAAAAATAGTTGCTGGGTGCTTGATGCACTTTTGATCAAACACAAGAGAATCGGGTGTAGTTTTTCGAGCTATTTCTATTGGTGAGGTCAATTTTACCCCAAAATGTCGTAATTTTCCCCTTAATCGTTTTTACGACGAAATTTCGTGTTTTATATCCCGATCGGGATAGAGGAGGTGCCCCCTTACTGCCTGTATTTCGAGCAGATTGCTACTAGGATTTCTCTAGTATTTCGAGCTGATTGCTGCCATTATTTGACTTGAAAAAGTCGATAGGTTCTTTGTAAAACTTTTGAACTATAAACTGGTCTTCCAAAAACCCTCTAGAAAATCGGATTGAGAATCTTTTTCAAAAATCGGCTCTGCTTATAGAAATACAGGTCAAAGTCTCATCTTTCTATTACTGAAGACCCCAACTCTTTAGCTTTCATCATTCAATAGTTATTCAAAAAACATCCATATACCATTCTTTTGCTGGATGGACAATAGTTGCTTGTATAGTTTTCTTTTCGTATTGATTGTACTCCTCTTCATCTAATACATCTAGTAAATCAAAACATTGAATGAAAAACTCTTTGCTGAGAATTACTGATTCGAAACAATAATATCTAAACTAAGTGTTAATCATTTACCAGTTATTTTTTGTTCACAAAAAAATGCTGCTCTTTGTTCGTTTTCGGTAAATAAAAAATCGAATATTTATTCAATGGTCAAATTATAAGTTCGCTTTACCAGTTGTTTACCAAAATGTCTTCCACAAGGACAACCGATCAAGTAAATATTTCCAGTTGAAGATGGAGGAAAAGAATTTCTCCTGTCTCAATGACCATTATCGTCCAGTTTTGTATCTACAGTTCTATGAAGATTTTTAACGGTAGTAGTAGATTCTGTTTTGCCAAAAGATACATTTCGGGATATCTGTAAATAAACAGAAACCGCACGTACCTTCTGACAAAAATCTTTATTTAAGAGCTAGTGACCCACTCTCTAAAAAAAATCCGTAGCTTACAAAACGAATATCGGTTTTGGCATTTGCTCCTAATAGAAACCGATATCCGTATCGTACAGTCCTGCATAACCGTTTCGCAGAATACGCTTCAACGTTTT